TCAAAGGCACTAAAAGCCCCACCTAGTTCAGGATTTGTGGCTTTGAGACCTTAGGCTTTGAGGACTCCCGCGCATTCGAGCGTCCAAGTGGATGGTTTCAGCTTTCGGGTTGCTATGGCGTGGAGCACAGGATTACGGCAGGGTTCTGAACAATTAGTCGTTGTACTCCCTTAGAGCCCGCATTGAGTCGGGTTTAGGGTTCAGGGGGGTCAGACCCTAATAGTATACTCGTAGTTGCCGCGTCTTCAGGTGCTCGAGATTGGTGGCAATGTGCTCACCGAGCTCCCGCCACTTGGCTGGATCGAGGGTCCTCGATATCAGGCTGATGGACCTCCTGGCAAGGTCTGGACCTTAACTCCTAAAACCCTAAGGTCCTAAAAGCCCTAAACCCTAACTGTAAACCCTAGACCCTAAACCGTTCTGGGGACCGATGGAAAGGATTCTGTTGATGCGGAAGCTGTGAAGCCCATGTACATGTCATGCTGTTGTGTTCTGGTTTAAGTCAGACGACTGAGCCATGAAGTCCCGGGCTGAATGCCCTTACTTGAGTTCAATGCACTGTGTACAACTTAGAAGCTTCAACTTTGTACATCCCGAAGCCAGAGTTGAACAGTTACGACAGGCTTGTTTGAAGTGCCAAAAGAAGAGTGCGCCGTGCGATGGACCCGAATCACCCTGACTTCGCCATCCCAAGAACAGGCACGATCATGAATGATCATCAGGGTATGAGCCCAAGACGTCCCTCTGTGCTTGAGGGTGAGGAAAGCGGGCCTTCCTACGGTGCGGCGACTTCGCGCCCCGGCGAGCAGAGGACAAGAACGGATGTTGTTGGGGATAAGAGTTTGGCGAATGGTGTGCCCGCAGCTGCGAGTGGTGGACCGCCTGGTCTTGATCAGGCGCCCGGACCACAGCCAGTTGTGTCTCCGCCGGTGCCCTCTGTTTCTGACTTCTTGAGTACTTCGGCGGCTTTGAATCGAGATGATCAAGGGCCTACGTTTACGGCTGGAGTACTTCCGGGGGTTCAGGATGCAGGTGAAACCGGCAGTCGAGGAAACGTTCGTGTGCAAGCTGGAGGGTTTGAGTTCTCTCCACCGGAGGCCTTTCCGGCGGAGCAACCTCAAGCTACGTCTACTAACCAGGTGATGTGGTTTGCACGCATCGGAGAGTTTGTGCAGAGACGTGTGGCACAGGCAGGAGCAGCTATGAACCCGCTTCTGGAAGCTCGCACGCCTCGGCCATCGTCTCAGGTCTTGCAGACTCCATCGCCTCGGGTGCCTCGACTCTTCTCCCCAGAAGCAGAACACACGATGTCTCAGTGGACAAGGAGGGCACCTCATCTTTACTCTCCGGAGCAGCGAGCGAACGAAGAGTCATCGAGTGCGTCCTTGACACAGGAGCAAGTCTTGGCGGAGGTGCAGAAGCAAGTTCGTGTTGAGATGAGGGCACACCATGAAGAACGACAAGCCTTGGCGATGGAGAACCAGCAGCTAAAGGACATGCTGGAGAAAGTTTTGACTCAGGTGCAGTCTCGTGGACTGGACGGCAGAGGGAGTGAGAGCGTACGCGGAAATTTGCCTGGACCCCATGGAAGCCTTCTGGAGGACAAGTCACAGGAGCGCGGAGGAAATCCAGGTGGACCGCATCAGCTACCCAGTGTACCTGGGGATGATCCTTCTAAAGCCCAACCAGACCCGGGAGTATCTGCGCGTTTCAACCCTGAACAAGGTGATCCACGAGGAGGCCATGAAGGAGCTCGACTACCTGGCGGCAACCCGCTTGGAGCGTGGCTACCATTTGGAAGCAAGCGCACCGGAGGAAGCGGAGCTGGGAAGACGGAGCTTGGGCCTGCTGGAGGACAGTCACAACCACCGCCTCCGGCGGCGGCTTCGTCTGCGACCCATCCTACCTCTACGGTGACTACGACTACAGACCCACTTGGGGTGTTAGTGCAAGGGATGGCGCAGCTACAGACAGCGATGTCAGAGACCTTGACGTCGCGGACCAAGGAGCCCGAAGTTGTGAAACCGGGCCTTGCAGAACTGCCTGGACTGGCAGAAATGGGGCCGAACTCGGCCATAGATGTGGGAGATTGGTTGCATGGCCTTCAGAACCACATGGGTGACTTGAGCAACAACAGCGGACAATGGTGGTCTGAGGTCGTGCAGTGTCTTACAAAGTACTACGAGGCGTACCTCGCTGCGTCCAACGTCGGCAAGCTCACGATCCGGGCTGATGATTATGAGTCCACTACCTTGAAGGACGCTAAATGGGCCAGGGTGGATAAACGGGCTTCATCTATGATCCTGGCCTGTGTTCCTGAGGCTGTGAAGAGTGAGCTGTTGTCCACCAGATTGGTGGGCTCCCTACCAATGCTGTGCAGGATTGTCGTGTTGTACCGTCCGGGCTCCATTGCAGAAAGACAGCAGGTTCTACGTGCTTTGGAGTCGCCAACTCAGGCGAACAACGCGGCCGATGCCGTGACTGAGCTTCGGAAGTGGGCTCGGTGGATGGCCCGCGCGACGGACATTGGCATACAATGCCCAGATGCTAGCGTCTTGGTTCGTGGGCTTGACGGCATTGTGAAGAAAGTCCTCCTCGAGCACGCCGACATCGCTTTCAGAGTTTCTATGTTGCGTTACAACTTGGAAGTGGACACTCGACCGACAGTGAAGGGTGCGAGGGACCTACAGCAGGCTTTGATGAGCGAGCTTGAGCAGGTGGCGTTCAGAGGAAGGTCAGCCAATGGGATGGGCCCGAGTGTAAAGGCAGCTTCTGTGACGCTGCCTCCAACCACAACCCCGAAGGGAGATTCGGGCCATGGTGATGGTGGCAGCCCCTCTGGGCAACCGAAGGCCAAAGCCAAGCCGGCATGCAGGTTCTACTTGACGGACAAGGGATGCAGCAAGGGATCCTCGTGTACGTTCTCTCATGCATTCACGCGGAAGGAGAGAATGGGAAGGTGTTGGACATGTGGTAGCACCCAACATCACCAGCCGGAGTGCCCGACACGGACACAAGGTGGGGCAAGCCCATCTGCAAAGGCGGGTGCCGCCTCTAAGGCGCCTCCTTTTGTGAAGGCGGTGACTGAGGTGGCAGCGGCTACCCCGACAGCTGGGTCTTCTACGACATCTACGAGTACGGGAGCTACCACTGCAGCGCCTACTACCACGGCTGAGGCGGACCGCCCGACAGTCCCTGAGAATGAGTTGAAGGTTCTGCTGCAGGAAGCGAGCGCTATGCTTAAGGAGATTCGGCAGTTGAAGATGTTGGCCTACTCCACAACACAAGTGGAGAACCGAGCAACCAGCTCGGGATGCAACCCGTTCACGGGCCGGACTGGACTGCTGGACTCGGGGGCCTCCCATCCTTTTCGGGAGGCTACAGACGTGGAGCTTGAGGATGCGGATCGTGTTCGTGTACAACTCGCGGACGGCAAGGAGGTGGTTTTGGCCCAAAACTCCAGTGGCACGTTGCTGACAAAAAGGGTTGGTGGCGACAGCTCAGGTCCGATTGTGCCGCTTGGTGCATTGGTCCAGGACTTAGGCTGCCAGATTTCGTGGACGAGACGTGGAGGCCTCACCATACGACACCCAGAACATGGGCTAATACGCCCTTCAGTGATCGGGCGGTGTCCGGTGGTTGCTGAGCACCAGGCCTTGGATCTCATCTACGAGATAGAGTGTGAGAAGCTTCGACAGCTCCAGTACTCTACAAGGGCAACTGCAAAGGCTATCTGGTTGTGGGACAAAGAAAAACCCTGGGCGAGGCACCTTGACGACTTCATCCGAGGCGGTGGACGAGGAGCACAACTTCGGGCTATGTTTTCGGAAGGTTCACCTTTCTCCACGTGGACTGAATGGGATCGCGCTTTGGTTGCCGAACATGTGGACCTTGATGATAGGTCTGGGTGGACGTACCTACGTGCTCTTCCTGGATCACGGCAGCGACGGAAGCGGATGATGAGCCTACCTTGGGTCATTCATCTCTATGCGGGCCCAGGGAGAAACGTGGACCCCCTTTTCCGTGAACTAGATGACGGAAGGGTTCTGGTGCAGGTTGACATCAATCGTTCCAAGGCTGAGGACATGGGCATGGTTGCTGGAGTGTACCGTGCACTACTTTGGGCTGCGGCTACAGGGAGAGTTGATGGAATCCTGGGGAGCCCGCCGATGCGAGTGGACTTGGTTCAGAAGATGATGTGGCTTATGATGGTGGCAAAGGCAGCGCGCAGCCATCATGGAGGACATCCGGTTTTCGCTATGATGGAGGGGAAGAAGTTGATGGATTTGGTTCGTGTGGGAGGCGTTGAGAAGTGGGCTCCGGTTACGTCTTCCTGGGATCCGTTTACCGAGGTGATGTGTCTTGAGGAGGACAATGAGTGCATGGCCACAAACTTGACGTTCGAGCCTGAACCGCCCTCAGCGACTACAGTTGGAACTGCTTGGACCCCGGAGTTCAAGGAGTCTTTAGTGGATGCGATTCGACTATGGGGTCGTGAACCAGAAGCTCTTCAAGTGATGAAGTGGGCAAAGAAGCTGGACGCTGACCCGGGCAGGTTCTTAGAAGCGTTCACTGACAAGGAGCTTGCGATGTGGCGAACACATGTGAGGAACAACCACATTCCCTACGACCGACGATGCCGTACCTGTGTTACTACCAGTGGGACGGGAAAAGTTCATAGGCGAGTTCGGCATCCTTCCTCGCATTGTCTTAGTCTAGATATAGCAGGGCCTTTTCGACACAAGGCTGCTGATCCTAACCACAAGGACTACCGCTACCTCCTTGTCGGAGCGTTCACCATGCCACGACTACCAGCAGACGACCCAAAGTCCGAGGAACCACATGTACTACCAGCAGACGACCCAAAGTCCGAGGAACCACATGTACTACCAGATGGACATGATCACTTTGTGCCGTTAGTTCTGGGTGGTCACAATGAGTTTGAAGGGGCGTTCGGGGGCATTGGTGATGTGTTTCCAGGAGATAGCGCAGGTGACCCCATGGAAGAGATCACTGAGAAGCGTGCACCCAGAAAGTACCCCGAAGGTGAGTGCCGTGGTCTCTCTGAGGAGGAGTTCAAGCGCTTGTTTGATGAGGTCGGGCATGCGATGGATTTCCAGACGATCTACCTGGTTCAGCCTTTGACGACTAGGACGGCGGGGGAAGTTACAGCTGCGGTGCAGTCCTTGGTTCTTCGCCTCAAGGCGGAGGGACTGTACATTTCGCGGATGCACGCGGATCGAGCACGTGAGCTTCGTGTGGAGTCCATAAAAAGGTGGGCCCTCGAGAGAGGGATCTTCTGCACCTACACGGAAGGACAATCTCCTCAGGCTAACGGGAAGGCGGAGGCTGGAGTCAAGTGGGTGAAGTCGGCGGTGAAGAGACTTCTTGCGGCTGGTGATCTACCAAAAGAGGCTTGGGCAGTGGCTGCAAACTACGCAACGCAGACAAGGATGGAACAGCTACTTCGACAGTCCTCTTCTATGCTACCGTTCGGAACGAAGGTCCATGTCCGGTCCAAGGTCTACGGAGCAGGTGGAAAGTATGATTTGGACTCACGATGGAAGGCTGGAACGTATGTTGGTCCCAGTTTGGAAGTACGCGGCGGTCATTTGATACGGTTTGAGGACGGGGCTTACATGACGAGCACGCACTTGAGACCCTATCTCTTTGAGCCCGACAAGGTTGTGGAGCTGGAGGAGTACGAGGTGATGTTACCGATGCCCACAAGGAGACTGCGGGAGAAATCTGGACCTCAGGCCCAAGAACCTGAAGATGACCGTGAGGCGCTCAGTCTGAAGTATGACCCTGAACATCCAGCGGAACAGTATGCCATGAGGCTACTTGAGGAGGAGTCTATGACCGCGGATCAGCTGGAGACTTTGGCACGGATGCTTCCATCTACGGCACCTACCCCAAAACGTTTTGGCCCTCAGAAGGACACACAGAAGGTCTGGACAACAGGTGCCTACGTCCATGGAGGCATTGTTGGAGTCAAGAAGGCCACTGCTGTTTTCCCTGCCAGTACGAATGCCTTTGTGAAGTATGTGAAGCAGCTAGATCCGGACCACAAGTTCAATGCTGTGGCTGTGACAACAGACATAGAAGCAAAGCAGCACGTGGATGCGCACAACGTGGGAATGAACCTAGTTGCAGGCCTCAGCCGGGAGGTCCTATGTTGTTGCCGCTTGATGGGGATACAACGCACCAAGTCTTTGACCCGAAGTTTAAGCACTCCACCAAATCGTGGTACGGTGGGTCCCGGATTGTGTTAGTGGCCTACTCAATCAGAGACAGCGGGAAGCTCAAGGAGAATCATGTTCAGTACCTACGTGAGCATGGATTTCGATGGGTGCCGCATTTGTCCAAGCCCCCTGCATGTGAGGAGGAGATGCCATCTTTAAAGACCTTACGGGTTGGGTTGTTGAACGCGGTGATGGATGAAAGTGTTCCAGAACAACCTCGAGATCCTCCAGAAGGTGAAGGTGGCGAAGCTTGTGTTAAGGATGAGAAGGTCCCAGAACAACATCGAGTTCCTCAGGTTGGTGAAAGCGGATCCTCAGGAGCTTGTCGGGGAGGAGATCACATGTTGAACTTGCCCCACGACATGGAGTTAGCTATTGGTGATCTAGAGGATCGAGCTTGCAGACTGCGTGATTTACTTGAAGAGGAAGAGATCTTGTCCGAAGAGTACAGAAGGCTTGGTCAAGCCACGCGGGAGAACCTGAAGGACACCAGGGACCAGGTTTGTGAGTTTTTAGAACAAGTTCATGAGGAGCTGCTTGGTCTTGAAAGACTACAGACAGTTGCATGCTTGAGGGCAGTGAGGACGATGACCGACCCCGCTGTAGACGACACCGTGGACTATGAGGCGTTGTTGGACAGCCTTGAGGAGGACCTTAAGGTTGTCCACACAGTCCCTGTCAACCAAGTCAGAAAGGCCTTGGAAAGGTGGACTGCAGCAATTCGAAAGGAGGTCGAAGCCTTGTTCTCTTCTGGAACTTTGAGAAGGGTGACTATCGAAGAGGCCAAGGAGATGGAGTCCCAAGGTCTCGTTACGTTTGCCCCAGCAAAATGCATCTTCACGCTCAAGCCCCCTCAGGTTTCTGGTTCAAAAGCAAGGAGAAAATGCAGGATGGTAATCTGCGGAAACCATGTTCAAGGCAATGCTGAGTTTGGTGATTTGTATGCAGCTGGGTCTTCGACTGATGCCTTACGCCTGACGTTGGTGATATCTGCTGTGATGAAGTGGGTTGGAGCCATCTCAGATATCATTGGGGCCTTTCTTTTGGCTGGCTGGCCAGCGCATCTTCCAAAATATGGAGTATATCCACCCAGAATAATCAGGGAAGCCAGCGTTGCCGGACTAGAAGCATGGATCGTGGAGCGACCGCTCTACGGTTTACGAGAAAGCCCCCGAATATGGTGTGATTACAGAAACAAACGACTGCTAAAGGCACGCATCCCTATAGACGGGCTGACGTTAGTCCTGAGGCCTACTGTTTCAGAGCCGGAGCTTTGGATCATATTGGACGAGGTGACTGGCGTCATGTACGGGCTCATGGTCTTGTATGTGGATGATATTGCCTATTTCTCCACCGAGCCTATTGTGTTGGCTGTGCACGCTTACGTGATTGAAGAATGGCCGGCCAGCGAACTTGAATGGATAACCGAAACCAACACTGTTCGGTATCTTGGAGTTGAGATTGGACGAGAAGTTCGCACCAATGAAGATGGAGAGGCTTTCCGTGTGTACACCATTGGACAATCTGCCTACGTTCGGGATCTGCTTAGGAGCTATGATATGGTTGATGTGGCCCCTACAGCTCTGCCTGTACCAAAGGAGTGGATCGAAACAGCCGAGAACGATGATGAGCCGGAGACCGACTACGACGAGCAGACTTTAAGGCAGGCTCAACGGGTGGTCGGAGAAATGCTCTGGCTACTGGGTCCATGGGTTAAGTCGCATCGGCTTGTGTTTAGTCGCATCGATCGAGTGTGCAGTTGGGGATTCTGCTAAAACGTGTCAGTTCGCATCCTCGGACATGCTTGTAGACCTAATGATTCAGCCAGTGTGCAGCTGCTGTTTGCGATTCCAGTGGTACCGGTTGCTGGCCCAAAGTCTCGAGCGGTTGCCTGTGGAATCAAGCGTCTACATGGGGAAGGGCTGGGTTTGACGTGCTGTGATGTTATGGATGATCACAGTGAATACTTATGTGTGCCTCCACCGGTTGCTTGTGGAATCGAGCGTCCACATGGGGAATGACTGGTTTTGGGGTGCTGTGACGCCCTCGACGTGTGCCCCGAGCGGGTGCTTCTGGAATCGAACGTCTACATGGGGAATGGCTAGTTCATGTGTAACCACTTATGACTCGACCGGCCCTATAGAATGTATGTAAAATCGAGCGTCTACATGGGGAATGGCTGGTTTTGATATGCTGTGCTGCCTCTGACGTATGTCATGAGCGGGTGCTTTTGGCAGTCGAGCGTCTACATGGGGAATGGCTGGCCTTGATGCGTTGTGATGCCATTGATGTGCGTCTGGCTCGCGAAATTGAGTGTCCACATGGGGAATGGCAAGTTTCTCGAGCGGTTGCCGGCCGAATCGCGCGCTCACATGGGGAATGGAACAGGTTTTGACAGCCGGTCGATAGGTAGGTGTAGGGTTGGAGGTCGCGCCGCGCTCGCGCGAGCTCGCGCGGGCGTCGCGCAGGCCTACTATCTATACCACAAGTCAGAACCCGAAAATCCCTGCAAAATACACTGTTGCAGTCCCCACTCGCGAACTAAACAAGCCCTGCGCAGGAGTTCCTCTGGCATGTTTCAATACTGCAAAATAAGCCCAAATACTTGCGGCACGCGCGCAGCTCACCTGTTTCGTTACATGTGTTGAAACCCACCTCCGGGCGGCGTCCACATGGGGTTTCGATATTTCTTGTGTGATGAAATGAGGTGATGTGAGTGCAAAATAGCCACGAATACCTGCGTCACGCGGCCTTTCTACTCATTTCGCTACATGTGTTGAAACCCACCTCCGTGCCGTGTGCCCATGGGGTTTCGCTACTTCTGATGTGACTAAACGCGGGTGATGCGACTAAACGCGGATCGAGCGTCACCTTGGGGTGTTGTGACTAAACGCGCCCTGACGCGACTTAACCCCGCTACACGTAGGGACAAGAACGAGGCCTGACTTGATGTTTGTTGTCTCTCATGCTGCTGGTTTGGTAGCAAAGAAGCCCTCCTACGTGGTGCGTCTGGGCACGAGACTGCTGGCATACTTAGCCGGAACGGCTGAGCTGAAGATGACAATGGGTCCAACCGAGAACACCGTGGAGCAAGAGCTTATCGCCTACACGGATGCCTCTTACGCGCCGTTCGGGCGCAGATCCTTTGGTGCAGCTGTTATCACTTTTGCTGGATCTCCAGTGGCCTGGAAGTCTGGCCGCCAGAGCTTCATCACATTGAGTGTTACTATGGAAGCAGAGTTGTACGCTGCAACTCAGGGTTGTACCTTGCTGAACTCGGTGTACGCATTACTTGCTGAGGTTTACCCTTGTCAGGTCAGGCGGGTGCTGGCTGTGGATAACACCAGCGCTGCAGCGATGCTGGCGGGTGGCCACGGGAGCCAAAGGACCAGACACCTTAAGATCCGAGCGAACTACGTGAGGGAAGCCGTTGAGGAAGGCAACCTTGAGATCCGTCACACGCCAGGCAGTGAGCAGTTAGCGGACCTGTCCACGAAGATGCAGTCGAAGATTAGGCTGCAACAGCTCTTGAGGCTTTGGGGATTTGTGGGCCTTGCTGCAAATGTGATCCAGACCATGAAAATCAAGCTTCTAGCAGCTCTGATGATGCTTGCTCAGTGTGTGTGCCCAGCTAGAGGTCAAGGAGTTGAGAGCAAAGACCCCTTGCCAGTGTCTACGTGGGATGAGCTCCTGATCATGCTGGTGCTGATAGCCTTCGTTGTGGTTTGTGCTTGGGAACTTCTTCGATGTGGATACCGACGGGTTCTAAGGTGGCACAAAAGGTACCGCAAGGCTGTGAAGTATGAACGAATGTCTCAGTTCACCTCCAAGGCAGCGAAGAAAGAGGTAGCCAAGGCGAGCGCTGATGAGAGGACTGAGACTACGTTGAAGAGGAGACAAACTACGGCACCGCGGTCTATGTTCCGAACGCCTTCGCCTACAAGGACGCCCAGTTTGCCTAGGACGCCGCAGTTTCCCACGGCATCCTCTGCCGGAAGTACGCCGTTACCGACTACCTCAACCACCAGGCCGAGATCTTCTACACCCCCGGTGCAACGGAGGCCATCGACACCACCTACCGGAACAAGCGGAGCCACCGAACGGGCTCGAGTATGTAAAGATGTGTTAGGCCTGATGACCTGTGAAGACCTTCGAACGGCCTTGCGACTGGAAGGACAACCGGTGTCAGGCTTGAAGGACGATCTGTGTGAAAGGCTGATGGTTCGCCTTATATCCACGGATGTCACGGACCGCCAGCTTCGCTACGTCTTGTACTTGTGGCGGCACAGGTCATTGAGCTACCGTTGTAAGCTACGCTGAGAGAACATCAACAACAAGTACAGGATCTCAGCGTGGATCGCAGAGTGGAAGGATGCCTGATAAAGTGCGGCATTACGCATGACGACTTCAATGAAACCAGATAAGTGGCGTGGAGCGTCACAGTACAGCTGCATGTTTGTGCTTGGGTGCGGTACGCATCCAGCAAGGAGGAGTGTTGATGCGGAAGCTGTGAAGCCCATGTACATGTCATGCTGTTGTGTTCTGGTTTAAGTCAGACGACTGAGCCATGAAGTCCCGGGCTGAATGCCCTTACTTGAGTTCAATGCACTGTGTACAACTTAGAAGCTTCAACTTTGTACATCCCGAAGCTAGAGTTGAACAGTTACGACAGGCTTGTTTGAAGTGCCAAAAGAAGAGTGCGCCGTGCGATGGACCCGAATCACCCTGACTTCGCCATCCCAAGAACAGGCACGATCATGAATGATCATCAGATTCCCTGTAACCGAAGGGACCCATCTTGTTTAAGGATCTTTATATAGAAACCGTAATAAGGAACCCGAAACCCTAAACCCCAAACCCCAAACCCTAAATCTACAACGAATGACCTACCATTGCTACAGACCTTGCCAGGCTTTGTCCGAGTGTGAGTGTCAAAAAAAGGTAGATCTTTTCGGCTACATGTCATACTTAGCATGTCAGCTGCTTCTTCTTGGAGCCCTTAGGGCCCTCTCCGACTTGCAGGCATACTTTATTTGGGCTTCATTACAGTGGGGTAGTATATGGGAGTTTCCGAAAATAGGGAACCCTAATCTAGTACCCGAAATAGTAGGATCCTTATTATAAAGACCCCAAAATAAGGTACCCCTAATTTTCGGAAACTCCCATATGGGACATCCCTATCTTTACCTTGGCTTATGTAGGACTCAAGCCCAGAGTAGAGGTTACATCCAGATCTGAAATAAGGTGAGAGATTGGTCCAAAACCCAACTTTTCAACTTTTGGGCTCTTTCTTGAACCAATGCGTTCATATGAAAACTTTTAACTCCCCGAAACCTCGTCTGACTTGTCGAGAGCGCTTGACCAAGAACTCTTGGGCTCTTCCCAAACAGTCTTACACTGAAAGCTTAAACTTACTTCTATCTGGTTCTTAGTAGGGGGAATGGATTATGGGGGCTATTATTGGGGATTGTATGGAGACTACTTTAGGGATTCATTCCCCCATTCCCTACTAAGAACCAGACAGACTTTTAGCCAGAGTAGGCCCTTATTCCCTTTTTTCAGGGTTTAGGTTCCCAAAAATACCCTTTTTAACCAAAAAGGCCACCCTGTTTGTTGATTCCTAGGTTACTCTTAGGTCTAGATCCCCTAGAACCCTTAGAGATCCCGATTAAGGAGCCCTTATGGATCCCTTTAAAGGGCACCCTTTTGATTCATAGGTTGCTCTTAGGTCTAGCTGTTTTTCTTGAGGGAGTAAAGGCTTTTCGAGGCCGAAGTCCTAGTCTTCCCATGAGACTCCTGGGCTCTTTCATTGCTTCCTCGATCCCGAGCCCGAGATCACAATTTAGGGGTTAGGGGTTAGGAGTTTGGAGTTTAGGGGTTTAGGGGTTTAGGATTTTGGGCTTAGGGTTTAGGGTTTTAGTATGAGTCTTTTTTCATCGTGGCCTGCTGGGAGAGAAGGGTTAAGAACACCCCCAACCCGTGACCGTTAAGTTTGAATAAAAAAAGCGCCCCGAAGCCCACTAGCATCAGTCGTGAACAGGCGTTTGAGAAAGTTTCAGTCAGATTTAGACGCCCTAGGCACCAAGCCCTAAGCCGTATACCCAAATCCCTAAGCCCTTAAACGACCAAGGTCCAAGGCGTTTTCTTCGCTCTCTGCACTTCGTGTCCTGGACGCTTGCATGCAGCCAAGTCCTCACTTACACTGTTTAGGCCTTCAAGGATGTAGGGGTTCAAGTTGAATAAAGTAGGTCTGGCTAAGACACGCTTGTTGTGGCATCGGCTGGCTTTTTTGGGCTTGTGGCATCTGTTGCCTTTTTCGGGCGGTTTGTAACTGTAATGTTCGAGAAGCTTGTTGAAAGTCCCGGCTAAAGCCCATTAAAGAAGCCTTGAAACGGAAACCCTTCAACAAACCCCACACCCAAAAAGACCCTCAACCACAAACTGTCCGAGTCCGGAGCTTCGTATCCGAGATCTAGAAAACTTGAAACCGTAACCGGACCCTCCATTTCAGAGTTGAGGGTTTAGTGTTTAGAGTCCGGCAACACCATTTCGGAGTTGACGGTTTAGGGTTCAGAGTGGGTTTAGGGTTCAGAGTCCGGCAACAGCATTTCAGAGTTGAGGGTTTAGGGCAACACAGAAGCCATCGCCCACGAGCCGGCCTTTATTCTAAAGAAGTGCGGTGTACCTGCGAACCTTGCAGCCGAAAATCGTAGGGTTTTCAAGGACTGTAGGGTCGAAGGGTTTGAGACTTCTAATTCTAGGGTTTAGGAGTCGTAAACAACCCTACACCCCTAGACCCTAAACTGTTACGTAGGGCTTCAGCGCTGTGGCCCGCTAACCTGCACCATCCTGCCGTAGATCAGGACGCATCCCGCAACCGCCTCGTGCTCACAAACTCCACTCCCTTCGATGCCCTCACAGACCTGGAGTCCATTGGCTAGACGGCTTCTGCAGGGTTTGGGCAGGCATCTTCTGAAGTAGGAGTTTGGACGTTCAGTCCGGACACTGGTAGCATATCATGTTCTATTACAGGTGTCAGTTGTGTTACTAGGACCCAGAGTAGGCTCTTATCCCTTTTTTAGGGTTTAGGTTTCCTTATAACACGCTTTAAGCCAAAAAACAGCACCCTTTTTGTTCCTAGGTTACTCTTAGGTCTAGTTGTTTACCAGCGGAGAACAACTTTTCTCCGATGGTAGGGCTGCGGGGATTCTGGCGTTGGGTTTGGCTTGAGGAACATCTCGGACCGTAAAAGCCTCCAAAGCCTTAATCTTGCACTCCAATGCGTCATGAGGGCTTGGCATCTTACCACAGGCGACTAAATAATTACCAAAACTATTCTGGGGGTTTGTTCTTTACAAATGTAGTATAATGGGTCCCAACACCCCATTCTAATTATTAAGGACCCTTGACCCTAAACCCTTATAGTAGCCCTTAAAGAACCCCTTTAAGGGACACTTTAAAACCCTCTGAAGTACCAGCTGCTTTCAGAAGCCTGAAAGGATTTCTCAGAACGGCAGGACGCTTATGACAATTATGACAGGGGTCCTGTCACGGTTTAGGGTTTAGGGTTTAGGGACTACTTGGAGGTTCATGGGGAGCCAAAAGTACATAGGGTCATAAGTCCCCTAATATGGGTTGTAAGAATAATTACCCCACTTATAACTAGCCATGAGCCTCCAAGTAATGTCTTAAATCTATGAAACCTGTAGAAATCACGGAGGATTCCGAAGTGGCAGGGACGACGGCAAAGCTTCAACCAGAAACTTTCAGATTTCAGTCGAGCTCCAAGCGGATTAGCTTTTAGGGTTTGGTGTCGTGTGGTTTTCAACCAAAGCGCAAGAACACGTCTGCCCCCACATCCTTAGACACCAAAGCCAACAGCACTGCGCAACAAACCGATGCGAAACCAACACAACAGCCTGCCCCCCGAGTCCCCGGCCCCAGGCATCTCGTGCCTACGCGACGTTATTAAGCCATAAGCCAAAAGCCCTGGAGGCAGAAAGCATGCGCCCATAATAACTTTACTTGAACATGTGCAGTTGCACCAACGGCCACAACGTGCCTAAATCAATTTCCTCAGCCTCGAACCCTTCACCCGTGCACCTCGTAATGTAGGGGCCAAAATAAGTACCCAAAAATATTGTGGTGTTCCTTATTGTTGCTTTAGTATAAAATACCCGTGAATTATAGTAATCCTTCTAGACCCATGTTATGGGAATCCTATTCCAATTAGTAAGGCCCCCATACCCTAAACCCCTAACCCCCAAACCCGAAAACGCCTAAACCCTAAACCCTAAAGCCGTAAACCCTTAAGCCCTTTGTGGGCATTGCCTGCGTGCCCTCTCCGGCAAAAATCAAGATGATTGTGGGTCGTAGACTGGCTAGACTTGAGTCCAGTGGCAAAACAAGGCAAGAGGTTTAGGGTTTAAGGGTTTAGGGTTTAGGGTGAAGCCTGGTTAATGAGCCGGGGTATTTGGCCAATGAGCTGTCACTGGGACTCGCGAAGGCTGGTCCGAGAGCGAGTCCTCAAACCCTAAGTCCTAAATCCCGGCCCAACTAGAGTAGCCTTCAAGCTGAGGCTTTTGGACCTCTCCGACAACAAGCTCACCGACCTCCCACCAGGTCTATTCAGGCCTCCTTCAGGTTTTGTGGTTGGGTTTGGGGTCAGGGGGTCTAGGATTTGGGGGCTACGGTTGAGGGGTTTATGGGTTTAGGGGCTTAGGGTTTAGAGGTTTGTGGGTTTTAGGGGTTTCGGGTTTAGGGTTGAGTGATTTAGGGTTCAGGGGTTTAGGCTTTAGGGCTTTCCCAAGTTTTGGTGGCAGATCTTGAGGGCTTTGTTCAGTTTCCCTCGCCTGAGCTTGCGCCATCCGTTAGTCAAAGGGGAAAAGGAGGGACCCTTAATGGGGACCCTTGGGACCCTATAATGGGCTATATAATGGGTATATAATAGCAATATTCAGGGTATATACCTAGGGGTCCTTATTAAGGGTCCCTCCTTTTACCCTTGCGGTTAGGTTGCTCATCTAGACCTCGACTTCGGCACGCAAGTTCGTCATGGGTTGAATTTGCAGCTGTGTGCCAGGGTTCTTTGACACTTCTTGTCGTATGCTTGGGCCTGCGCAGCCAACTTGCCAGGGTAGTTTTACTCTGTTTGCAGGTGAAAGTTAATGCTGGCCCAGTACCGGAAACAACCATCTATCCTGACCGGAAGCCGAAAACTGCAAGCTTCAAATCTAAGCAACGCCGGCAAACAAGCAAACCCCAAGACCCCAACACCCTAAACCCTGACCCCTAAACCCTTAACCCTAAACCCTAAACTCTTAACCCTAAACCCTTAACCCTTAACCCTAAACCCTAAACCCTTAACCCTTAACCCTAAACCTGAACCACTCAACCTTTGGCCTTAAGCCCCGAGGCCGTCACCCCAACCGGATCGCACGACCCTACACCCTAAGCCCCTGAACCGAAACGCGTAAACCCCTAAGCCCCTAAACCCCGAAATCCTAAGCCCTAAACCCGAAACCCCTGAACTTCGGAACCCGACACCCCTGAACTTCAGAACCCCACACCCCTGAACTTCAGAACTCTAAACCCCTGAGCTTCAGAACCCTAACATCGAGTATGAGCGCCGGACTCTAGCGGCATATCAGACCTCGGAAGGAACCTTCAGAAGCTCACCGCTCTGCACCTCGGCGATTTCCGGCAGGGTTTAGGGTTTAGGGCCCTAAACCCTAAACCCGAAAACCCTAAGCCCTACAACCCTAAACCCTGAAACCCTAAATCCTAAAACCCTAGACCCTAAACCAAAAAGCCGAACACCGTAAACCCTAAACCCTGAGTTTAGGGCAGAGGCGGATGTGGAGCTTTGCCAGCTTGGGATGTGGAGTGAATTTTTTTTCTGAGGTGGGAGCGTTGGGTTGCGGCGTTGTTGGCAAGTTGGTCATACCCGCAAGAGTGGACCCGGATAGCTATTTCTAGTGCAACTTCGCAAGTGAAATTTTTCGCAGCAAGACGTTACAGGAGTCGGCTTCTCTTCACTGCTCCGTTCCGTGATTTCAGTGGCTGTGCCTTTTAAGGGCTGGAGACGGGGGATGGTAACAACAACTCCCACCGCTAGGATCGGAGGTTGAGTCGCTGTTGCCCCTGAAGCCCAGTCCTAACCTATTAAGGTAAAAGCCAGAAAGTTGGAATATGATTATCCTACCCCTTCTATGGTAAATTATAGGGTATCCTACCATGAAACCATATTCCAACTTTCTGGAGTTCCCTGTAACCTTCCACATCCAAGCATCGCAGTATTCTGGGCCCTAGTATACCTTTCAGGGAGGGGCTGGATGTAGGACTGCACTAGCCTAACGACCCTAACCCCTAGGCCCCTAAACCTCTACATCCTAAATCCTAAAACCTTAAACCCCTAAATCCTAAATCCCTAAATCCTAAACCCTCCAAGGATGCAGCAAACTGTCGCCCCCTGGAAAAAAGAGTTCAAAAAACTTACACCCTACTACTACTACTACTACTACTACTACTACTACTACTACTACTACTACTACTACTACTACTACTACTACTACTACTACTACTACTACTACTACTACTACTACTACTACTACTCCTACTCCTACTCCTACTCCTACTCCTACTCCTACTCCTACTACTACTACTACTACTACTACTACTACTACTACTACTACTACTACTATTACTACTATACTATTACTACTCTTACTACTATCACTATACGACTATTACTAGTACTCCTGATCCGCATGAAGTCGGCTAGGAGCCTCGCAGAGAACGAGCTGAAAGTGCTACCGCCGGGAACGTGGCGGCCCCAGCCTTCCCCCAGTGCTTCCCAGAGACTGAAAATACCCCTTAATTAAGGTATACCTAGGGTTCCTTTAAGGGATCTATAGGGTTTAGGGTTTAGGGAATTCTAATATCCCTTAATTAAGGAATATACCTTAAATCATATTAAAGATCCTACTATAATTTAAGGTACATTCCTTAATTAAGGGATGTTGGAGTCGGAGTCTCTGGGTTTGCTCTCGGTCATGCTGCTCTGGCTATGTATCTGCGTCTCTAGTCATAGTACTTGCATATGAGTATACATATATATATATATATATATACACAGCAATGCAGGGATACGCATGTGTGTGTATATATATATATATATACACATAGACAAACACGTACAGACATATACACATGTTGCAAGGTCAGTTCGCTATAGCTGCAACGGTTCTTGCATTGCCATGGTCGTATTCGTGTTCGGGTGCCAGGTCTTAGGGCTTACAGGCGCAAAGTAGCTTTTTGGGGTATATTAGAGGGTAGTTGGGGGTTCTAGGTAATTAGGTTTCGGGTTTAGAGTTTCGAGTTCAGAGGTTTCAGGGCTTTTGGGTATTGGCATTCTGGGCTTGTTTTATCCGCCCAAAAATGTCGAAACCTGAGCCAAACCGCCAACCTCCCCACGAAAAGTTTCCGACATTTTCCGACACCTCCACAAAACCTTCAAACACCCAAAACCCTAAACCCCAAACCTTAAACCCCAATCCGAAACATTCCCACCTCCGAGGTTTCAGGGTCTCGAAGGCCTCCGGCGATTAGACCTGCACGTGGCCGGGTTGCATGAACTCCAGCAAGAGGCGCGTCAGGGGTTTAGGGCTTCGACAGGGCTTGCTCCATTCTTAGTAGGGTTCTGCAACGGTGCTGGCTTTGGGGTTTAGGGCATTAATCGTTGAGCGTTTAGGCCCTAAACTTTAGGGTTTGTCTGTTGTAGAAGGTCTTGTCACTTGTCGTCGTCAGTTAGCTGGGCGTTGGTAGGTTTCGAGTTTAGGGCGGAGGGTTCGGGTTTTCGGTTTGCGGGTTTCGTTGGCATTGGTGAGGTCTTGGGGTTTTCAAACCCCAAACCCTGAAGCCTAAACTGGCTGTGAACCCTTACTGACTTGCGACGTAGGAGGCCGAAAGCCCTAAACCAAAAACAAATTTCGAAACCTTTTAAGCCCGTGCAATACTCTTGTTCGATGACAACGGGTAGAATTGTAGATGCAAGCTGCGTGATGGGATGATGGAGGAGTCACGGGGTATCCTTAGACTGTTGGGGCTAGTCGACTTCTACTTTCTCGCAGTGCTGCTGGGTCTCAAGGGTCCGACAAGTACATGAACACTGAAGTGTTTGTGGTTGTGACTTGCTGCTGGGCTTGTCTGCTCAGAGTTCAGATCTTCCCTGGGATCCTCTTCAGTTGAGTTCGGACGAGCTCCCTGCGGTGCGACTTTGTTCAGTTGGGCCGGTGGCAAAAAACAGCCTCAGCCCTACAAGTAAGTGTGTCTTTGAGTGCTTCTGGGTTTTCCCTTTGTGGTGAGCGGAGTCCTCATGTTTCCCCGTTTTTGTTCTCAGGCGGGAGGCGTCAAGAGCAATCCCGAAACTATCAACCCATAGCTTTTTGGACCATGAAGGACTGGTAGGAGCCCGATGCCAAATATATATGTATACACATGTGTTCATAGACATACATGTACACACATCCATCCATCCATCCATCCATCCATCCAACCATGCAAGCAAGCATGCATTTCTCTAAATGGCGAAATGAACTCACACACACATATGTGCGTATACATACATATACATATATATATATATATATATATATACATATATACATATTTATATATATATATATATATATATATATATCCCTTTGACCCGAAACTCGAGTGCCATCGTTGAGTCTTTCGTGCTACATCAAAGCCCTCAGCCCTCAGCCCCAAGCAATATAGAAGACTGTAGAAAGAGCCATATCGTATTTTGGACCTATTCCGTAGGCTGTTTTTGAATCGCACCAAAACATGTTCCAAAACCTTATCAAAACTATGACGCCTCCAAATCAACTGGATGGCTTCCCCCTTCTGACACTTGACGAGGCATTTCGCGGACTGGACTCCTTAGGCTCAGCTCAGTGGGAAACGGAGGATGTTGATCATTGTTAAGGGGTTTAGAGATTTGGGTTTACCGTGATGCTCCCTTATGATGTCTGTGATGTCATACTCGCTTCTCGCATGACACTTTACCGCTTGTTGCATACATCATTCCGCATCCTTGTCTTCTTTTTTGTGCCGAATTCGTTGCTGCTTCGAGGGGAGCGTGTTGCACTGTCATGAGTACATTGCTTGCCTTATCAACCGAGCAGCTTCGGTATCGTCTTTTGCGTGTTGGTCCCAGGCCAGTGGAAGTCGTTGTCTGGCTTTGTTAGGGTTTAGGAGTTTAGGAGTTTAGGGGTTTAGGAGTTTAGGGTTTAGGTTTGGGGTCTATGGTGCAAAAGAGTTTAGGGCTTTCAAGCACCCTGGTACACACTCGCGGGTTTTGACGCTCAGGAGAAGCCCAAGCCCTGACCCTGAGACTCGAACCCCCCAAGTCCCCACCCCTAAGCCCTAAGCCTCAACCCGCACCCTGACTAGGTAGGGCTTTGGGACATTTTATATTTCCCCTTATTGGTCTTAAGAGGATCTTATTTACTAATATCTTTCAAAGGCACTAAAAGCCCCACCTAGCTGAGCTAATACTGATTGTAAAAAGCGGTGTGCCATACACTCCGCAGCTCACTCACCCTGCATCGTAGGTTTGTCCTTGCCATCAAAGAGACAAACAAAAGCCCGAATCCTTAAGCCTTGAGCAACAAGCTTCTTAAAGCCCCCACACCCGGAACTCTAAACCCCTTGTTCTCCTCCCTCAATCAGAGTGGTAATCTGGAGGCTTCTGGCTAAAAGACACGAGGGCTCAACAAAAAAACCTAAGTGAGCTTCTTAAAAGCCCGGAGGCTTCCTGGATCTGTCTCAGAACTCCTTGTGCGACCTGCCAGACGGCAGCTTCGGTTCTCTGCGCCTCATACTCAGACTGCTCGCAGAGATGCACACTTGAAGGGATGCAGCACATGAACCCTAAACCCTAAAACCCTAAACCCTAAACCCTAAAACCCTAAACCCTAAACCCTAAACCCTAAAACCCTAAACCTAAACCCTAAACCCCTAAACCCTAAACCATAAACCCTAGACGCTACCATCCATACAGACCCTTTTGTGTCGGGTTCTCCTGCTGCAGGTTTTAGGGCCCAGTCATGTCTGAGTTCTATGTGGACTAAAGCCCAGAAGGCGTATTTAAACTACATCCGTATTCCCTCTGCTTCCAAGCTTCTCAAAGAAATTCAGGTTGATGCTGACCCTAAACCCTAAACCCTAAACCGACCTAGATGGTGCATTTCGGGCTTGCGTTGATGGGTTTTGGTGGGACGCTACCAGGCTTTCTAGTAGAAGGCGCAGGGGCCAGGGCTTTTTCGACTGCCTTGGTGCTGTCGGCAGGGTTCCACCCTAAACCCTATGAAACTATGAAACCCTAGCCCCTAAATTAAATCCGCCTTTAAACCCTAAACCCTAAATCCTGTGAAAACTTTCCGCAACTCCGATTGCATGCTCCCTTTTCGGGCTGAGGCCACCTGAAGCTGCTGAACCTGCGACGGGCTCAGCTGCTGTGAACACCTATCTCAGGGGCCGAGTATGTAACCTTCAACCTTTTGGGGTTTATAAAGTCATATATGTATATATATGTATAATACACACACCATAATTCAAGAGACTATATAGCCGCTAGGGAATTCAGCCCCTCTCATAACTATAAACCCTAGCGGGGTCTCGGTGTTTCGGTGTTGGAGGCGACGTACTAAAGTTCAACAAGTTCCCAAGCCCCGGAGCCAAGTTGGGGAGCCAGCTTGCCCTTCAGAGCTGCCACCAAAGTGGACCCTAGAGTCGCAAGTGCAGTGGTAATGGTAGTCGCAGGCATCGTCGTCGTCGTCGCAGTAGTAGTAGTAGTAGTAGTAGTAGTAGTAGTAGTAGTAGTAGTAGTAGTAGTCGTTGTTGTTGCAGCAGCAGAAGCAGTAGCAGCTCGAAGTACAAGGCTTCATCGCGGTAGGCAGAAGCAGCGCGGGTCAGAGTGTTGTTTCGGCTTTAGAGCAGGTCTTGTGCTGAACTCGGCGACACGCCGCCCTTCGTGACGATGCCAGGGAGAGGGTCTGTGCAGACGAGGCATCTGCAGACGGCCATTCATGACGCCGCCTCTCGGGGCCCGCGAGCCTTTCTGGGGTTTCTGCAACCTCACACCGCAGAGCGCTTTGCAAGCTGGAGTCCCTACAACCTCACTGCGGCGCTGCACAAGATAGTCGGCATGAGGCGCTCTCGGTTAGAAAGTTGGCTTGTTGAAGAGTTGCGCACGGCTGCTTGGGAGCTCGGAGCAGCAGCGGTGAGGTCGGATCTTCTTGACTCCCGTCAGCTGAGCAACCTGCTTTTGGACCTTCGGCAGCTGGAGCTCTGGGACGTGCTGCGAAAATTGGGCCCGGAGCTTCTCAAAAGAGTTGACACTGGCTTTTCCGAGCTCTCTGCTTGGGACTTGACCAACGCTTTGTCTGGCTGCGCAGCTCCCGCCTTGTTGGACGATCTTACTCTGAAAGCAGTTTTTCGGGCAGTCATGCACAAGCTGGCAGGCTGCGATGCGTGGTATTGGTGCAAATGGAAGGGCAAAGATGTTGCAAATACTGCCTATGCACTTGGCCTTTGGCGGCAATCTGCCGACGACCTGGTGAGCACCGCAGATGCGTGGTCATTGACGCAATCGCTCTGGACACGCACCCTGGAGCTCGCAGCCGGCATGGAGGCTGAGGAGTATGTCAACGTCTTGTGGGCCATGTCTGAGTTTCGGGTCAAGGGCTCGCACCTTTGCCAGGTGGTTGACACTTCCCTCGACGTACTACGCAGATGCCGCAGGAACTTGGGGCCAGACCTCTTGAGCCGCTTTGCTTCCGCGCTAGCAGAGCTCTGCAGGCGTCAGGGCACGGAAAACCCACAGGACAGGTCGCGTGCGAGCACCACAGGTGGCTCGAACTACGTGAACTCCTCCGAACGGATTTTTTTTGAGATGGTGGCGGAAGAGTCCTGGAGGATGACTTGGCCGGTCGCACGCCGTGGACGTTTGGTTTGGTCCTTCGCGTGCATGCGCTTGAAGCACGTGGCGCTTTTCGAACATGTCTTGGGAGAGAGCAGATGGGAGATGTGCTCGGAAGGCGGTTTGGCTGACATTTGTTGGGCATTGGTCACCGTGCAGCCCGCTGAAGTTGAGACTTCCTCTCGCCTGAGGGACCTACTTCCTCACCTTTCATCCCGACGGCTACCTCAGTGGCTGTGGCTGCTGTTGCTGTGGTGCTTTGCGGTCGCCGACATTTCTATTCCATCGGCGCTACAAGAGCACATCTACTGCGCCCTTTCAAGCACGGGGGCCGGCCATGCTGCGGCAACTGAGGGCTACAGCTGGACCGAGATCGATGCCCGGATGCTGGACCAAGTTCTCATGCTCTTAGGCTGGCAATCTTACAGTAGCAGCTTTTGCCCCACGGCTAAAGGAAATCCTCCGATGCCCTCGGCTTTTCAACGTGATGTTTTCGACATGCTGGAAGAGATGGGCCTAACCCCAGAGTTTGAAGCAGAGGGTTTCGATCTCTTCGTTAGAGACAGGTGCTTAGCAATGGAGGTGAATGGGCCTGCGCACTACGCCCTAGATTTGGAGCATTGGGACTACCATGCTGAAGTGGGCCGCAGCTTGTTGAAGCGACGCCTAGCTTCGAAGAAGGGCTACCATTTTGTCACAGTGCCATGGTGGGAGTGGGATCAAGCCTTGCGTGATCGTGGCGGTCGACGTGGATACCTGCAAAGCTTAGTGTCCAGACACATGACCACAGACTGGGGTTCCGCTTTTGCAAGCACCTCCGACTTGCGAGGGCAAAGGAGTGACAGCGCAGAAGCAGAGACCAAGCGGGGCTACACGCCTGCTGGGGCGCCATGGTCTGATGGTGCACAGATGCCGGTGCCGCCCTGCAGAGCTGAGGGAAGTAAGGACCGTGCTTGGGACAACTGGAAGTCCTCGGAATGGTGGCTTTGGGGCTGGAGGGATGGCTGGTGCAGCCATGGCGGTTGGAGCGACGGGAGCTGGAAGCGGCAGGATTAGGGCGAGGACTGCGGAACCGATTGGAGCCGCAGGGACAGCCGAGAATGGAAGTACGTTGGACCGCCCGGGGCCAGTCCTCAGGGCTATGTATAGATTTGGGTATAATTCTGGGGCCATGTATGGATTTGGGTATAATTCTGGGCTTGTACAGGTTAAGGCTTACGCTTATGGGATGAGATGAAAACTTGCGGCATGCCGGCTTATCGGATGATAACGGTCGCGTAATTTGCAGAGCCCATCCCTTTCATCGCCTTTATGTCAGGGCTCATTTCATTCATGACCTCACTCTATGTCAGGGCTCTACAACAACAGCAACAACAACGACAACAACAGCAACAACAACCTACAACTTTACAGACACCACCAAAACCATAACATGAGCAGCGCCCGGAAATCCGTCATCAGAAACACAACCATGCGAGAGGCCGTATACATGCTATGCACAAGTGCAGGGTTGAAAATCCCCAGGCTCCAAGCCATCCTAAATCCCGAAACCCCCTCATAGCCCATGTGCGATTTCGTGTATATACGGTAGTCTATCCTACCTTCACAGGAAAAAAGGCAACTTAACGGATCAACGCCCCAAGCCGCACGTGCCCCCCTGACTCTAACTTAGGGGCTGAGCCAGTAACCTGTAACCTTTTGGGGCTTATATAATCCTACTACAGTTCAAAAGGTTAACTTGTTTTGGGCTAGGGTGCCCAGCCCCTTAAGTCAAAAGATCTGCAACCTTTTGGGGGCTTGTATAAGCCTACTACAGTTCAAAAGGTTAACCTGTTTTGGGCTCGGGTGCCCGGCCCCTATGCTAAATGGGATTTTCCGAAAACTAGGGGTAGCTTATTTTGGGGTCCTTATAACAAGGATCCTACTAGTTAGGGTGCTATATTGGGGCCCCTATTTTACTTATTGGCTGTAAACTCAACTTTTCAACTTTTGGGGTTCTTATAAGGTAGTTGATTCTGAAAGTTTCAACTTTTATTCCCTTGGGTTTTGGGCCAGTGAGTTTATGAAACTCCTAAATGAACCGAGGTCCTCAAATCCGCTTTGCGAGGCTGGATCCGGAGTTTGGGTTGAACAGCGGCCGCGCTTTTTGACTTCAGGGTTTTAGGGCTTCGGGAAGTTTAGGGTTTAGGGGGCCTTAGGGTTTCGGGAAGTTTACGGTTTAGGGGGCCTTAGGGTTTCGGGAAGTTTACGGTTTAGGGGGCCTTAGGTTTTCGGGAAGTTTACGGTTTAGGGGGTTTTAGGGTTTCGGGAAGTTTACGGTTTAGGGGGCCTTAGGGTTTCGGGAAGTTTACGGTTTAGGGGGCCTTAGGGTTTCGGGAAGTTTAGGGTTTAGGGGGCCTTAGGGTTTCGGGAAGTTTAGGGTTTAGGCTAGGGGGGCTTAGGGCTTCTGGGGTTTAGGGTTTAGGCCCGCGGAGCCTGCTGTAAAAAGGGTTTAGGGTCTAGACACGCTTGGGGTGTAGGGATTTCGGAGTCTAGCTTCGTTTCGGAGGTTTAGGGGTAGGGGTCGTTTTGATCGGGAGTTTAGGAAGCTCGAGTCCAAGTGCCTGAAGATTGCCCGTAGTAGTGGAGTGGGTACCCTTTAACCACCAGTTAGTTCCTTCATGTCTACTCCTGGTTAGTTCATGAATCTGCCTGCCTTAGAGGGGAGTGCAAAAGGGACAAAGGGACCCTAGTTTTTAGGCCGCTGATGTAAGGAAGCTGGAAAATCAGGTGTCTACCTTAAGCCCCAAGCCAGAAGCCTTGCGTGTTTCCTTCACGACGTTTTTGAACCGGAAGCCAACTCAGAACCATCAATCGAAAGAGCCCTACCTAAACCCCCAAGAGTAGGCTAAATAACGGCCCAAAACCTACAAAGGGCTATTATTCTACATACTTTGGGGGTCCAGGTAGGGCCTAAGCCTGCAACCCAGCGATCCCATATCCTGAAGATTCCTAAACCTAAGAGCCGAAGTCTAACGGTTCATGAGGTAAATCCTGCATTACTTTAAGGACCCTAAACTATGGGAAGTGTGGAATATTCCCTATTATGGGTAATGCCTAAACTATGGGAATTGTGGAATATTCCTTATTATGGGTAATGCAGGATTTAGAGCATCAAAGGAAGCACCAAAGCTTCATAGCACATCTGGACTGGTAGCCTGTCGGCCCTGGTTTAGGGTTCAGGGTTTCGAGGCTTCTCCTCTAGACTTATAAACAACAGAAAAAATGCATCCGAAGCACAGGTCACAGGGGCAGCATTTCAGAATCTGTCAAGCTTGAAAGTCTTGGCCTTGGCCCCAGCGTGGGAGTTCAGGGATTCGTTTAGGGTGGGACATGGCTTGGGAGCTCTGTCTTGGGTCTATTTCATTCTGGACGGATTCAGGGCCGAGAATTAGCATGAGCTTCTCCTATGATTCTTACAACGATGTATCATGACCGACTGAAACATCTGACATCTGCAGGCAGGATCTGGGGTTTTGGTGATCGAGCCTCACGCGTGAGGGGCTTTAGGGCGGAGGGCTTTTAGGGTTTCTGGCTTTGGGGTGTGGGGTTGTGTGTGCGTCTCCACATCCCCAAGTCTTCAATGTCACGAGTTTTCTTGGCGTTCTTCTGGTTGGCTCTTAGGACTTTAACTTTTTGGGTTGTTATATGAACCATAACAAGGGGGCTAAAAGTGTAGTTTTTCGTATGGGTTCAGCCAGATTTACTAGTGAAGGGAGTTGAAGGCTGCCAGAACGCTACTGGTGAAACCCGGCAACCTTATGTTGGATGATCCAAGTTCTGGGATCACCTAAACCTAAACCCCCTACACCCTAACCTTTTGGCGCCAAATCCACCTGGGAGTTTCCGAAAAGACGGGACCCTTAATTTAATACCCTGGATAGCAGGATCTTGATTGTAAGGACCCCCAAAATACGGCGAATCTAATTTTCGGAAACTCTAACCCTAAACACTTTACCCTTGTAGAGCCCTTCAGAGGAACCCTTATGGTTCCCTTTAAAGGTACCCTTAACTAGGTAGGGCTTCGGGACATTTTATATTTCCCCTTATTGGTCTTAAGAGGATCTTATTTACTAATAGCTCTAAAAGCCCCACCTGGTTAATTTTCGGAAGCAGCCATCTCCACATCCCCAGGACCTCGCCAACCTTTGCATGGGCAGCATGAACCGAAGCTTCTTCGCACCTGGGCTGCATGTGCTGCATTTTGCGATGGTGCTCAATAGGTTTAGGGTGTGGGATCTTGGTTGCTACGTTGGATGATATAAATCCTGCATTACCTTAAGGACCCTAAACTATGGGAATTATGGTATATTCCTTATTATGGGTAATGCAGGATTATATCATCAACCGTAACACGGGGGCCTTAATAACTACCTATACTACTTCGGGCGGTTTCCTGAAAAGGGCACCAAAACCCTTTGCTAACTGTTTGAGGCCCCTGTAGTACTCCTTAATCGTTCCTATGCAATGGAGCTATAGGATACCCCCCAAACGCCGTGTTCTAATCATTGAGGCCACTGTAGTACTTGCATCTTGCTTCAGTGATGATTGCCGTATTCTAGCTTTAGGCAGTGCTGATTGCAGTATAAATGCTTGAACCGCATCGAACCATTCAGCGATTGTGGTGCATTTGCAGCGGCGCTGCAACCCGAGGTTTGTTCTCTAGGACACCTGGTGGTAAGCAAGGGGGCTTGTCATTTGCCTTTGCCTTTACCTTTGCTGTTGCCCGTTCGAGCAAGCTACTGTTCGAAAGGGACACGGGACAGGAAAGTGCAGTGCTTGAATGTGTTAAACATGTCTACAAACAGTGATTGCTTGGACATGCACTCTATTGCGTGCTGCATCTGCCGAGCATGCCTCCCTTTTGCCTGCCCTGTCGAAAAGCTTGGAAAAAGTTTAGGTGTTTTGGCCGGCTTAGGAGAAAGAAGGCATAAGCTTTTGTAGACAGGCCTTCTCAGCTCGTCGCCATAGTACGCTGCGCCTTGTCGCAAGATGCTGTCGTGCTTTTTCACGGGAGCCCCTGCACCCTAAATCCACGGATCTTGGTGAGCGTATATCAAGGGCGTCCTTGCAGCCGTAAAACCCCTACTTGGAGGTTCATGGGTAGTTATATAAGTAGGGTTATAAGTCCCTTTTATGTGGGTTATAGGTATAGTTACCCTACTTATAACCCTACTTATAACTACCCATGAACCTCCAAGTAGACCCTAAACCCTATACCCTTATAGTATCCCTCTAGATCCCTTCAAAGGGACCCTTAAAGGAACCCTTATAACTACACTCCAGGAACACGTCTCCGACTTAATGGTCTTCAACATCTCGGACAACCGCCTGGTGGAACTGCTCCTTGTTCACCAGCTTTATTGCCTTGGGCTTGTGAACATACATGTCTGCCAGTTCAGCAGCTTTATTGCCTTGGGTTTCCTTATGTTGGGGTCCTTGTAATGAGTACCCTACTAATTGGTATCCTACTATTTAGGGTACTGTTTTAGGGTCCCCTAAATCGGAAACTCCCTTATTGCCTTGGGTTTGTGGACAACGCTGAGTGAAGCTCCGAATCCCCCCCAGGCGGCGAGGTAGTAGCAAGTGGGAGGATTCAGAGTTTCGGATTCCCAGCTCCGCTGATGTCATCTGTTGGATACTACCTAGAGTCTCCATAGTAGTTCCGTTTTGCGGTTCAGATTTAGAATCCTATACGGTAATCCCAAAGCCCTAAACACCAAAAGGAGCTACTATGGAGCCTATGGGTAAGCCGGAGAGGGAGGCAACCGCTGCTTGCCTTCTTTGCTCTTCCCGCCTGGGGCAGCCGAACCGAGAAGCATGCGAGGCAAGTCCAAGAAGCCTCCCATCCTGGCACATCAGACTAGGCATTCCCAAGTGGGCTATGGATAGACGGCGGGAGTTGTGACTGAGAGAGAATTCCTAATGAACAAGCTGTGCTGGTGGCCTCAGTATGCAGTTCGTGCAGCCTGCTTCAGTTGTGACTCATAATCTGTAATTCCTTATTCAAGACGACA